GCTTTGGAACGGCAGAATTTCGGGGTTGCTCACAGCCTGCAGCATCGAGCGAATTCATTGCTCCGGTGTCCACAACCCTTTTGACCCAGTATCTTTGTACCTGTAGGTCAACAGAACGGAGGAGCACAAACGGCAGGGACAACTGATTCACATATATAGATGTTGTCTCGCTCTTCCTTTTCGCGTGGAGTTCGATTTGCCGTTTGTCTATGGTTTGGCTCGAATCTCTCACCGGTGTTAGATCAACGCCTCCATCCGTCGTCGTCTCATAGGTAAGTGTGCTCGGTCACTGGTTGACGATACGGCCTCGGTGCCCATGGGTTTGTGCGCGAGTGCGGCTGCTGTTTGGAAATGGCCCAACATTGCGCGTCAGGTCTTTGGNGTCTTTGGACGGCCCGCTGAAGCTTCTCTGTCGCCCGCGCCAGTGACACGGTCTCGTTAACGCTTCCTTTGGGTTCCATAATTAGCCTCTTCTTCACAGAAGGGTTTGCTACTCCTTTGATAAACCGTTCTATTGCGCGAAGCTCCTGTCGCTCGCTGGCGTCCCCCGGGAATGCTTTCGCCACCAGCTGCCTCACGCGACACGCAGACGCTTCGGTGGTCTCTCCGATATCCCGCGCGCTGCAAGCAAGTGTTTCTGATATTTAACGGGGTGTAGCGGCGTGTCCAGAAGCTCACGTAACTGGGAGAACGTGATCTGGAGGTCGTCACCATCGAAGACGTTTGCCTGGAATGCGCGATCTGCAGCGTCCCATGTGATAAAACTCAGCACAGTAACACTTAGCTGATCCTTTGGGAACCTCCGCATATAAGCACGGAATGGTAGTTCCCACCGTAAGCAGCTGCTGCCCGTAGTGAATTTCTTCGGTGAGGGCAGCGGCGAAGTGAGATTCAGATTAAGAACAGCGCTGGAGAGTATTCTTTTCAGAATATTCTCAACCATATCCTCAGAATTGCTGAAGCTGGGACAAGGCAATTTGCTTTACTTGAGCTCCGATTGAATTGGCTTAGGAATCTTCGATTCTGCTCGCAAAGTCATTTGCAATATGGAAGTAGAAGACGTTTTGGGACAATATAATTCAATTAGTAACATACTACAAGGTAACAATAACAATAAGAACCGAACGGGATTAACAGTTTGCGTGAGTTACGAGTTCACGGATTTCTCCTTGTCTGTAATAATATTAACAGCAGAACGGTCTGAAATAGGGATAACGCATTGTGTTACAGTTTGTTGTAGGCACGCGTATTAGCAATACCAATAATGGCAATAGCAAGTCAAGTTGGGACATGGAGCATAACAAATATAATAGTTATAGGTTCTCGATGGGCTGATGATTTCGATCACGCCGTACACAGTAGTAAAGAAACGTTAAACGCACATCAAAATTACAGTGGTTTGTATCTGCCGGTTTAGAATAACACCCTTGGTGGTTATCGCCATTTTTGATCCGCTCGTTTTGGGCACGGTATGGGATACTATTTCATTGGAGAACCCCCTCCTGCTCTCATCATCTTTTCTAGCATAGATTCCCTGCCAGAAAATGCGATAAAATAAAGCGCAAACGTTTGCGTTCTGCCTGACGAGCTTATCGTAAAGACAAGCGAATTTGCAACTAATACTGCACGTTTTTTCCTTCACCTACGAAACGACCTTGCATTACCCATCCCTTACTGTACGCTTAATACTACGCCTCATATTAAAGTATAACCGATCTACATCGCGTATTATCAAAACATATGTAGCAGTTCTTCAACCGTTGCATTCATTCGTAATCGCATTATATTTCATCATTTCTTGCTCTTGTCGAACATTTACACAAACTGGAACATAATTATTCCAGGTAGCGCTCGGAGAAGTCATTTTCCGTTCACATTTCATCCAGTCATGCATTCAAGCAATAGCCTTCACATGCACCATAAACTTGACAAAACTGTTCAAATCACCTATGAAGGATCCACCTAGTTTATATCATTAGGCAACCAACGGGTAGTTTCACTCTAGACCAACGTGCGGCTAAAAGCAGGGACCCTTGAGGTCATACTTATAACATTTGGTTTGTGGTTTCACCACAGACACGACCACCAGGCAGTGTCTCCAAAATTCAGTACCTAGTCTGTCTGGTCGATGTCTGCTTACAACAACCGTTCTAGGGAGAGGCTGATGTAGCAGCACTCCAACCGACAATTTCTCAACGGCAGTTTTCTCTTCTTACCTCTTGTTTTCTCTAAGCTTCTTGATAGATCCATTCAAGCTGGACGTGATCATCGAATGACGTACCAGAAGTACTTTCACCCTACGCTGGTGACTAGCAGCAGGATAGGTTCAGTTTCTAACCAGTCCTATTTAATTGAGGACTATCAAGGCATGGTACATAACCATGGCATACCTATCAGAACCATCAGGCTTCAGAAATCAAGTAGCGACTTAGCTTATCGATCAGATAGCTAAACTACCGTCAGGCTTTTGCCTCCTTCCTTAAGGACCCTTATCCACCGGACACAATCAAGTGCACCGTCGAGATTTAGCATTTATCGCCATTATTTGACGACAGCTATCTTCCAGGGAATGTTTCTTAATTAATAATGACAACTTAGACATTTCCAGGATTAAGTTTTGCTTTTACTATTATCGTGCTCTTAATGAGCTCGATAAGCGTGCACCGACACAATTCCCCACGGTGAGTTCTGTATCACACGCTTTCGTTGCATTGATCAGATCTACTTACAGGTTTCCGCTACCGTTGATTAAGTATCAGACTAGGCCTAGCTAAACCTACTTCCAACCTTTCTGAAGATCTCAGAATATATCGTTTTCAATAAACGCAATCTTTGGTTCTGTTTCCGTTTGGGACGGATATTCGAAACGGACGTAAGTAAACCTTAGTGACAGGTTCTGACGAATATCAGCAACCTTCGAGGTACTAAACTGGTGAGCCCGCATACAACTGCGTCCGTTTATTTTCGGCAATCATCAGATTTTGGTGAGTCCGTTCCATAACTTTTGAATTGTTGAATCATTTTCCATTCGTTTAGAATTTTTTAGCGGTTACTTTTTGTATTTTCTGTTTACCGTTATCGCTGTTTCAACTCTTCAATTTTACTAGAGTTGTTTTTTGAGGGAATTGCATATCACATATACAATTTTCCACTTTTATTGTTTTCGTCATGGATTTATTAGTTTTATCCGACGAACCCTCTCCCGTAGTGGCCGCCACATCCCAACACCCTCCTTCTTGGGCATCCAACCCTAGGGCCTGGTTTGCCGTCCTAGAATCACAGTGTGCCACTAGGAATATTAATTCTTCAAAGACTCAGTTCCACCACGTGGTTTCCTCCTTCCCCGAGCACCTGGTGACCGAGGTTTCAAATGTAGTTTTAGAACCTCCCGAAGAAAGGCCGTTTGAATCACTAAGGGACGCAATATTGGAACGCACGGGGAGCTCTAACAAAGAGCGAATCCGACGCGTACTGCAGGATATGCCTTTGGGCGACCGGAAGCCCTTGCAACTTTACAGGCTCATGTGTAATGAGATGGGCAATATCCCTCACGACGATGCGTTCGGTAGGGAACTGTGGCTACAAATTTAACCACATATATTTGCTTTTTATTTCATGATCAAGAATACACTCTGGCTGTCGTTTCTCAGCAGTGTTATCTCTCCAGTTGTTCGGGCCTAGACAAGAGGTGTACGTATCGATCACATCGTCTTGACATCAAGACATAACAGGACGGATATTCGAAACGGACGTGAGTAAACACTAGTGACAGGTTCTGACGACAATCAGCAACCGTGAGACACTAAACATATGCGTGCGTAATTAACAGCTCGATGCTGCAGGCTGTGAGCAACCCCGAAATTCTGCCGTTCCAAAGCCGATTGTACGGAGCGAACGGTGCGGCGATCCGTGCCATCGGGCAGTCCATTTAAAGGTGCAGCTCGATGGTGCGTCGGTTAGACACTGGTTCGTGGTCGCCGAGCCGCTGTCGGTAGGTCGCGTCTTGGGAGCCGATATCCCGAGGAGGCTTCGGTGTACCATAGACATGAGGTACTCCACAGTTCGTGCAAATTGGCTAATAGAACCAACGAAGGACGACCGTGAGGGAGACGACCACTGTGCCGTCGTTGGCGTGGAAACTAAGACCCAGGACCTTCAGGATATTATAACAAGAGCAGAACCCAACATCAGTCGGTCAACACTAGAAAAAATGAACAAGGTCATTGCAAGCTGCCGGGATGTATTCATGACGGACGGCGAACCATTTGGTAGAACCGGGTTCATAAAACACCGGATAGAGACGGGCCACGCCATACGACTGAACCCCCGCCGTGTACCAAGCTGCTACGTCTAGGAGTTGAAGAGCATGGTAAAGGAGATGCTGGTGAACAACGTGATCCAACCATCGAAGTCCCCCTGGGCTGCCCCTGTTGTTTTGGTGGAAAAGAAAGACGGAAAAATTAGGCTGTGTCGCTTATCGGAAGTTAAATGAAATCACAAAGAAGGATCGTTTCCCTCTATCACTAATGCAAAACATTTTCGACTCTCTATCAGGAGCAAATGACCTCCAACTCTCGATCTGGACTCGGGGTATCGGTAGAAATTGAGGAGAAGGATAGGGAGAAAACAGCGTTCGTCGTACCGAACGGATAATACGTATTCCAGATGATGCCATTTGGGTTGACGAATGCACCAGCTACATTCGAGCGGTTAATATCTTCGATGCTCAGAAAGCTGATCCTACAGCAGTGTCTTGTTTACTTGGACGATGTGGTGGTACACGTAAAGACCGAGGAGAAACATTTGGCGAACCTAAGGGCCACGTTTGACTGTCTCCGCAAGGTCGGNAAAACGCGCTGAAGCACACTGTTCCAGAGAGAGGTCCGCTTTCTTGGCCACGTGATCTCCGCTGAAGGCATCCAAACAGACGACGAAAAGGTAATTAAGGTGCAAAACTAGCCTCAACCTTGCAATGAGTCACAGCTCCGCAGTTTTATGAGCCTAGCATCATACTACCGACGATTCGTCCCTCGCTTCTCGGAGATCGTCTCTCCACTCTCACAACTGTTACAAAAGGGAATCACACTTGAATGGACGACGGAATGCGACATTGCCTTCAATACTTTGAAGAACGCTCTGTTCACTACAACTATCTTGGCACTGCCGGATCCAAGCCACTGAGTCGGCAAATTCATCCTGGACACTGTTGCCAGTGACGGCGCTATTGGTGCAGTACTCTCCCAGTTGGATAACACCGACATTGAGAGAGTGATCGCATACGGAAGCAGGGCTCTAGGTCAACAAGAGAAAGATTACTGTACAATGAGGAAAGAAATGTTGGCATTGGTGCATTTCCTAAATAAATATCCACAGTACTTGCTGGGTAGACGGATTTTGGTTCGTATGGATCACCAATCATTATTGTGGTTGAGGAATTTCAAAGAGCCCGAGGGCCAAGTTGCCCGACGACAAGAGAAACTTCAAGAATATAACTTTTCTAGCCAACATAGAGAGGGGAAAAGACACCTCAATGTAGACGCCCTCTCGAGGTTGCCCTATGGAGAACACGGGGCCTGTCCGTCGTGTGTACAATTGCTAACACAAGCTTGCCTTGCGGAAAATATCGATAGAAGGTGGCAAACGGCCCAATCACGGGACTCTGATACCGCACTCATATACGAGCGACTGAAGCTAGGCCCGCCAAAACCGGATAACCGGGAGGTAGCGGGGCGCAGTCGAGAGACCAGATTCCTGTGGGCTATGTGGAGCTACCTTCGGATGGAAAACGGTGTGATATAATTTCAGTAC